CCCGCACCCTCCCCTCGTAGCAGAGATTCTCCAGTCCCCTCCTCATCCTCGTAGCCCTCCGCTGGACTCTCTCCAGTAGCGCCTCGTCTTTCTTGAACTGGGGAGCCCAGAACTGGACACAGGACTCCAGATGGGGCCTCACTAGGGCAGTGTAGAGGGGAAGGAACCTCCCTTGACCTGCTGGCCACACTCCTCCTAATTGCGATGTGTTTCCAAAGCACACCCGGCAACCCAAAGCCCCGGCTGGGTCCCAAGGCTGTACGCCGTTTGATGCTAACTAATTGCACCTGATTATCTAGAGGCAAGGGGTTCTGGATTAGCAGCGGGAGAGAGGAGGGGAGGAGTGGAGCCGAGCGGGTTGCAATGCCGTGTTGGTATTGCTCAGCACGAGAGCCATCATGCCATTGTGGCTGTGCAGCCTGTGGGCTGCACCACAGCGAGCCCACCACGCACTGTCACCCATACTGGAGCTGCAGCCCATCAGAACTTCAGAGAGACCTGGAGCTGAGGGAGCGGGGTCGGAGGAGGCCCCAGCAATGATCCGAGGGCTGGAACCCCTCTCCTGGGAGGACAGGCTGGGAGAGCTGGGGCTGGTCAGCCTGGCGAGGAGAAGGCTTGGGAGAGACCTTATTGTGGCCTTATTGTGGGGTTCCGGTACTTAAAGGGGGCTTGTGAGAAAGATAGGGATAAACTTTTTAGCAGGGCCTGTTGCAACAGGACAAGGGGAGATGGTTTTAAACTAAAAGAGGGGAGATTCAGACTAGGTATAAGGAATCAATTTTTTATGCTGAGGGTGGTGAAACCCTGGCACAGGTTGCCCAGAGAGGTGGTCAATGCCCCATCCCTGGGAACATTCCAGGCCAGGTTGGACGGGGCTCTGAGCAGCCTGGTCCAGCTGAAGCTGTCCCTGCTCATGGCCGCAAGGGTGGCCTAGATGGCTTTGAAAGGTCCCTTCCGACGACCCAGAGCGTTCTGTGGGTCTGCGACTCTAAAAGCAGACCTGTGCTGTCGAAGGCACCAGGTACACATCAACGCCCGCAGGTAGCACAGCACTGTCACTGATTAAATGACTTCTTTAGCAGAATTAAATCTTGGGTTAGATTTTTTTTCCCCTCCCACCCTTGTCAGTCGAGGCCATAAACACACCGGAGCAGAGGCTGCGTTTCCGTTGCATCTCCCCCAGGCTGAACAAGCCTTTTAGATGTTCCTGAAGATTCGTATTAATAATGAATATTAAAAACATTTCAGAGCCTAATAAATATTCCTCAAATGAAATATGATATAGATTTAGTTCATCTACAATACACATGCAGTAATGGCACCACCCAGCATTCTTCCTAGTAACAATTCCCCTGTCTGTAAGTGGATATGAATCGGAAAAAAAACAGGCATTATAAACGTTTGTTTCTGGTTTAAGCTACTGGAATTACTGCAAAAATTCTTCAAAAGTCAGTTTACCAGTTACACTGCTCAGATTTTGTCACATTGTTTTTAACAGAACACATTCATTTATAGGTAACAGATAAACCTATTCTTCTTCCATCATACTGCAAATACGTGATAGAAGTGCCCCATTGCAGGAAAAGACTCTTTTGATCTTTGCCAGCCTCCGACCTGGCCCCTCTCCAGCCAAGGGACCCGTCTTCGAGAAAAGCATCTCCTTTTTCTTGCTACTACCTCTTAAAATCCCCACTCCCGCTCCAACATCTCTGTTTTGAAATCCAACCGTCGGGTTCGATCCTCCGAAGGAACCACGCGAAGTTGTATTCTAAAACTCTATTTGTAAAATGTCGAGTGCCCCGAACTCCAGAGGCCCGCGAGCCCATCAACCACCCGGCTTCTCCCTCCTCCGTCCGTGCAGCCGGACCGCAACGGCCCGCAACACCGCCGAAAACAAAACCAGAGCCCGGAATCTCTCCAACGTCGTTACAGAAGCAGCAACCGCGCGTTTAAAATCCCTTCGAAAAATTTCTCTGTTTACTACGGAGCAAATTTATTCAGGTGAGGACAGCACGGCTGTGGCAAAGGATCCTGATAAATGACATCTATATTCTTGAAGGTCAACAGCTCCCCATCTACTGCCTCGCAGCTTTCCTGCCTTGGAAGGTTTCCCAGGTTTGCCCAGGACATGGCAGGTCTTCAGGAGGAGTGAGCCGTACGGGGAGCTGCTACGCAGGATTTGTACCATGTACAACTCATTAATGCAAGAAACAATTTATCTGGAGAGTGCACCAGAGAGAGAGGTTGGCGATAGCGGAATGAAAATGCTTCTTTTATACTGAAGGCATAAGAAAAATGTCTACAGCCTGAATTTAGCTGTGTAGACGCTAGCTGCAAATTGTTACGGGAAAGACTTTGAGGATAAAGAAGCAGATCTTTTTAGGGAAAATCTCGCAATTGAATTGATTTTTGAGACTGGATTGCTTGTTGCCCAGAAAGAAGCATCCAATTTAGTTTTTGAGGTTCTTTAATAGCAGCAAAAGGAGGATCTTAGGATACTTCTTAGCTCCTGCTGAGTTAATGGTCAGCAAAAATGAAACAGTCAAGGATAAGAATCTTATCGTGCAATAGTCTGATGTATGAGGGACATTCCAAGCTGTTTAAATTTCAGATAGCATTAATTAACCACCATGTAAGCTTAATAATTTAAATAAAATGTTAAAATATAGTATTTCTCTATTGATAGTACTGCATTCAAGATGTCTAAGATACAGCCACGGGTGGAAACCCTTTAAAACGACTTGCTATATTCATTTGGAAGATGGTCAAACACTGTCTCTTTCCTCTCTGAAGGCTGCTCTGGCCTTCACAGCTCTCAGGACGGGCTTACGACCCGACGCGGGACAGGAGCTGGACGTCAGCCTCGCACTGATTTTTGGCAGACAGGTGAATTTCACCAATATCCCGTCAGACGGAAGAAAAAGCCAATTGATGCCACCCCATGAGCTGGAAAAAAAGACATTTTATGCCGAAGCATGGGATTTACTGTGTAGTTTCCAGCATTTTGTGGCTCCAGTAAAACAGCAAAAGTGGATTTTTTTGTAGGGGTGGCGAAGAAGGGAGGAGTGGAAATAAATGAGCAGTGTGCATTTCTTTCTTTTTTTCTCCCTGGGACCAACGCTTCAATTTATGAAGGAGCAGTGTAAAACCTGTACTGATTTATAGACTGCGGCATCCACCGGCAAACCTGAAACCCGTTGCTGCTCGTACGTTTTACCACGCAGGAATGAGAACGCTGCTGTTTCCTTCAGGGCTCCAGAGACCGCCCAAGCCTGTTTAAAAATGATCTCTTATCTTCATCAAGGACACCGAGTATTTCTTGGCCTCGGAAGTTCATCAGCATCGATCAACACCAACTGCTCCACCCGGGCAAAATCTCAACCCATTTCTCATCACTTTATTACCGCCACTATTTTTGCTTCTCGTCCTGAGATATTCTAACCGACCAATTTTCAGTAAAGTCCCTGGATTAAGGGCTGTGTTGAAAATTACCAAGCTTCAGCCAAACACAGAGAGCAAACACCTCAGAGCAGTTCAGAGGACAGGTCAGATGGCTGGGGACAAGGCTTTTCAGGGCGAGAGCCGAGAGAGGCGGAGATGAGACTGGGAAGTGCAACGCAGTGAAGAATAACAATCTAGGAGAGAAAACTCTGCATGTGCTAGGGAAACTTGGAAGTAACAACCCTTCATTTTGGAAACAAGTTGCTTAGAAGAGTAATGAAAAGTATTACCAATATGGAATCAAATCCATGAAGGAGAAGAGCAGCAAAATGCAGAAGCTGTAGCTGAAAATGCTGATTTACTAAAGGTCAAGGGTGTACTTCAGCTTCATAGAAGCTTGGCTGAAGGACCAAAAGTCAAATATAAGTAAAAAAGCAAGCTTCCTAAGAATAATATATTAAAAAATAGAAATAAAATGAGGACTACTAAATGAGTCTCAAACTACAAATAACAGGGATATTCAAGGTGAAGGCCAGTATTTTGTTCTCAGCCAAAATGAGACGCCCACGTTCCCGCTTTCGGTGCAAGCCCACACTCGGTATTATTAAATTACAAATTTCTCAGGCACTTCTGGTTTAGAAGTACGAGGCCCACTCCATTCCAGGCTGTGTATGGAGGATTATACCCTCCTCTAAATTCATCTCCCCATGAATGCTAATATTTAGGGAATAAGCCTCATGGCTGGCCTTCACTTGCAAAGTGCACTGTGCGTTCCTCTTGGGAAATTACTCTGCTAAGAGAAAGGGATCATGATTTTTGAGATGCTGAACTACACCATCCCTTAAAAAACCAAAAGCCAGTGTTTTAAAACCCAATATAACCACCTTTTAAGAAATCCCTCTCCTCCATTTCTTCTACACAATGTTTTCAACCACATCTACCTCCCCTCCCAAGACCACCGCTTCCCATCAGGCAGGCTGGAGTGGAAGAGGCACAGCTTCACAACAACTTTAAAACAAAATTCCCGAGCTTCTGTAAAAGCCTGGAAGCAGTTCTAAGGCTGCCCAGGGTAAAGCGACCGTCTTTGACATCGCTTGTTAACTTTGTGGGAACAGAAAGCCAAGTAGTGGGATCTACCCTCAGTGAATTGCCAGGCAGAGACACAGCTGGGCAAGTATGGTAAAAAAAAGACAAATTGGTTCGTGTATTGTACAGTCTTCTAAAAAAACACAGTAAATACTATTTCAGATGTGTCACTGATCATGGAACGGCGTGGTGAAGCTACCTGCTGGACTACATTTGCAAACTGCATAGGTGAGTGTAAGCAGTTGATTTAACCTAACATCAGATCACCCCAAATGAGAGGATTAACTAAATTCTGCTGTGGAAGCCTCAACTTCGAGCTTCTTGACATTTGAAAATTCACATAAGAAGCTCATATTCTCAGTATATATGGATTTTTATTTTTTTTCCTTTTCACTGAACAATATGAAAATTTACCACCAACTGGAGTGACCAGAAAATGAAAGAAGAAATGTCTGTAACTAGGAAAAAGCTCTCTGAAAATGAACCATCTCCTCACACACGCAAGTAATCACACAGGAGTCCCACGATCGGAATTATGCAAAGGAATGAGTAATCCCAGTGGTCCCTTCGCGACCACCGTTCACCAACAATTTTTAGAATAATCAAGATTCAGCCGTTTCATCTAACCATGAGGGAAAGGGAAAACACAGCATTTTCAGCGCTGGCGCTTTTGAAAGCAGGCAGAGCCTTCTCTCATTTCTAGTCGTAGAACCCGAGAAGATGCAGCGTGGTTCCCCGGTCGAACGGCCGTCTCCGAAGCGCCGACGCCGCGCTGCGTACCGCGGTGCTGCGCTGGCCTGGTGCTCAGCAGAGCAGTTCCCACCACCTCCACACCAGCACCACGAACGACTGACAGTGAAGCCATAAAGACATGAAACAACAACATAAAAACACGTGACTTCTGCCTTTCCCTTTCCAGAGAGGAATGTAATATTAAAATATAATGGGCAGCCCGGCTCGCCTGCGGTCTAGAATAACAATTTTTTTAGCATCATTTATTGTCAACTTCTAAACATTGCATGAAGACAAGGCATAAAATTTGACCTTTTAAGCAGAGTTTCTCATCTGATTCTGCTAAAAACTTACTTGGGAGAACAAGAGCTGCTTGGACAATATTCTGGTTCTACCAGAAAATGACATTTCTGTTTGCACGACATTTATGCAACAAAGATGGCTTTTAAAAAAACTGAGTTTACGTTTCTGAACTAGCCTGACAAAGAGCTCTCTACTTCTACATTTAAGCCTTTTATGTGTGAAATACCTGACAAAGAGCTCTCTACTTCTACATTTAAGCCTTTTGTGTGTGAAACACCCGAACCCCGCCACAGCCCTCCACCTCCCTGCCTACCCAGTCAAACCCCTCCATCTCCGCGGACAGGTAACGCCAGCACTCTCCGCTGCCCGCCGCGCAACGCCAAATGCAAATTCCCCCTGCGCTGAAAGACGCAATTGCAATGAAGCTTTCTCACCGGAGAGCACTTCTGCCTCCTTACGATGTTCACCCCAGGCATCCGCTCTCTGAGGGAATCTTTTTGTGTACGCGAGCAAGAACGAGCAGCTGAAGGACTGCGTTAGCTACTGCGATTGCTGGAAAAAGTGAGTCCCCCAAATTACATGCATCACTTTTTTTATTTCCTCTGTGGCATAATAGGCACATATATTTACCCTTAACGCAGCAGTTAGAAATGTACCATTGATTTCTCTTTAGTTTTTTTTTTAGTATTATTATCTCTAAGTGCTAGCTGGTGGACCGTTTACATAAAGCACTCCAAATAACTTGTAGTAGCAAGTTTAAAGCTCCCCGAAGGTCACTTGATGCAAACTATATTTACTATTCAACCTGTAAGTTAGAGAGAAAGACAATGCAACATATTTGGACTTTTTTTTCTTTCCTTTTTACCTTGCCCTTGTCGAAGTAATGGATAATTTCTTGATATAGTTGATCTTTCAGCTGTCCTTGAGTAGCAGCCTGGTATCCATCCCGCTGGGTAAGATGTGCCGCACACGCTTCTTCTGACCACTAAATCATACCAGAAAGAGAGGGAAAGTGAAACCAAACCAAAAGTCACGAAAACTGTCAGTAAAATTAGGCTAAATAAAATACACATTTTTATTTAAAGAACTGGTACCGCAGCTAATGCCCTAACAAAGATTGTTATTTGCGGTTGTGCACTTTGATTCCTCGGGCACAAGGACCATTTATTTGAACGCTGTAATTGGAGGCTAATTGCACGTATCAGCTGGAAGGAAGCTTCTCGAGGTGGCTTCCTCTCCTCGGAGAGTTTGATGAGACTGACCTTGGCCTGCTGATGGGTACAACCTGCCGGGTGCATCGTGAACACCAGCAGGTTTACGCCGAGAGAAACCAAGATTCTTCAATACAAATGGAAAGCACTGTAGGCACAGAAGTTAAATGGCTAAAATTCATAGAGAACATTTGGAGGCACAGAAAAGCGCAGCTAACTTTATATGGCCTGTCTGCAATTAGTAGCTCTTGTTCTTCCAGCAAATGCCTAACGGAGATATTCCAGACCCGCCTGGACAAGGTCCTGTGCAGCCTGCTGTGGGTGACCCTGCTTTGGCAGGAGGATTGGACTAGATGACCCACAGAGGTCCCTTCCAACCCCCAACATTCTGTGATTCTGTGATTCTGTGGATGAGGAGCAAGGCACAGATATTAAAGGAATTTCCCCCTAGACCTGCGAGGCTCAAGGAAAAGCTCTATGGCTTTCTCCCGTGCATCTGCACATCCTGGTGTCCAGGAAGGGACAGATGGAGCTGAAACCTCTGGACTCCGGTATTCACATCACCTCTTCTTCACCTCCCTTCTCTCATGAACATTCCCTGGAACCTACCTGGGGATGAGACAACACTGGGGCCCTTTCCCAAGCCAGGATGTGAGTACCAGATCCTACCTCCCCATAGCTGTCTGTTTCCATGAGGCTAGCAGGAAATCAGGAGCTTAGTGACTCACAAACCTCTATCAAATCAAATCATAAACCTCCATTAAATCAAATAAAACTTCTCCTAGATTGAAAAAGAGACAGGGACAGGTGCTCCAATAGGACTTCTCTCAGAAAACCAAGTTCCAAAATTAAATTAGTTAAAGAACTGTTCACTCGCTGCTCTGCAAACTGAAGTCACTGTAGAAGGAGGACTACCCACAAAAATGAGGCGGTGTAACTTTGGGAAAAGAAGAAATTCAACCAAAGATCAGCAACTCACAGATGTATTCACAGAACTGCTGGTACATCATCCAGTTTTACCTTGTCATTAAATTTCGCCCAGTCACTTGTTTTGGCCAGAACATTTGTGTCTGGCTAAGGCAGACACCTCTGACAACTCCGTGTGGCAAAGCTGTGGTTCTCAGCAACACAAACCTCGGGGAGTCTGCAACGCAATGGCATTTTTTTGCAGCATACGAAGCCACTGTCTTCTGTTAGTTTTGAACACCTTAATTTTGACTAAATGGGTTAAGAATAAAACTAAAGTGTCTTTTCTTAAGTGTGCTTCATCAGCTTGCAGTGATCTGGAGAAAACGACGGTGGCTTTCTCTCCAGAGAGAGCCTTTGCGCAAATTGAAAGGTGAAATTCTCGACAGCTCTCCGTCTTGACCTAAGTGTGATCCCATTAAAATCAATGTGATGAAATATATGCCAGTGATGGGTGTTATTCAAAACCCTGTCCTCAAGGTTTGAAAGAAAAACTCAACTGCTGAAAGTTACACACACCACAATATTGCTGCTTCTCGAGTGATACCGAACCCCTCCATCCACTGCTAACTACTGGTAGTAACAGGATATTGTATTGCATAGATTGACATAGTTTTGTAATAAAATATTTCCATATGACAACGTAATTATTTTTATAAACAAACATCTGCTTGGAGACAAAAACCTGCAATAAATACTACCCTTACATTTGCCGCCTTCTACTGATTTGCACTGTAAGAAAACTGGATTATTTCTCTCCCCGTAAATTGAGGGGAGGAACTGTCCTCGAGGGGAGCAGAAGGAGATCCAGGTCTCCCTGGAGAGAGGAAGATTTCACTGTGGGTGGTGAGATGTGAGGAAGAAGAACGGGACTAAAGTAAACGCTTCAGAAAACACTAATTCCTACCAAATTTAGGTTTTGACTTATTCTATTGACTGCTTTTTTAAATTACAACACAATCCCCCTCCCTACTAACCTAGTGATGACCAGGCTACATTAAACATGTGATTTCCTGACACGGGTGCCTGCTGTTCCATGCAGGATCCTTCCACATGGGAATGCCAGGAACATGGCTGGCACACACTGCCACAGTCGTGACAGCATCACAGAAACAAGCTGCACCTTAGAGACACCACCACCTACCCGGGAAGTTTCCAGAGAGATTAATGCTCAATGCTTACGAAGTACTGCTTCATTCTGCTATATAGTGTTAAAAATTCAAATGCTTTACTGACATGCACCTGGTGTAGGTAAGATTTATTTATATATACACTGCAGGTTACACCAAAACATCCCTTGAAGAACAGCAATATGGTGAGGTCTCTTTAAATGTGCTATCAACTGTGTAACACTGCATTAAAATTACACGTACCTTTTAACAGCAGGAGCTTGGAAAGAAAACTATTCGAATCTCTCTCTGATTTTTCAAAATCACAACGGAATCTGCAGATACCCAAGAGCGCTCGAGGACAGTCTCCAGCACTCCCTTGCACTGCCTTTGCAAAAACAACTCTGTGGAGAGCTGGTTCACTAAAATACGTGTTTAGATGCTTCTGCGCATCACATCATTTTGATCTTTATAAGCAATTTAAATTACAGCTTTGCGAGTTCTACCTTGTGGTCTTGACTGAAGCGTGCTTCCACCCATTGCAGGGGGGTTGGACTAGATGGCCCTGAAAGGTCCTTTCCAACCCAAACCATTCTATGATTCTATGATTCTGATTTCAGCTCCAGCCGAGCGAAGCACGCTCTGAGACACACCAAGGGCAGAGGCTGCTTTCCTGCCTCTACCCCTTACACGTGCAGAAGAGAAGGCTGACCTAAGCAGCAGCACGCAGGTGCTCATCAAGATAAAGTGCAGATGTTCTAAGACTGGCAAACAGTGATATTTGTGGTTACGGCCAAGGTGGTTTTCAAAACTTCCAACGTGTTTTGGGGGTTACCTTAAGCAGCTTTGCGTGCAGAAGTAACGTGTAGGCAGCTTCCGTGTAGTTATCACACTCTTTGTGCAGGTCGCACAGTTTGTATAAATACCTGCAAGCCATAAAAACAACGGTTCTTAAAAAAGACTGGTTCTTAAACGCTACTAAATCATTTATTTTGAAGATTACAATGGTTCAATTCTATTTTCAAACATCTAAACACATGTGGGATTATTTAAAGCTCGCATTTCTGTGTGAGGACAACTTCAGGACCATTTGCATCTCTGCTGTGGTTTTTTTCCAATATGTCTCAATAACTTGTGATGCGTAATGAATCCAACCCAGATCTTGTGCAAGAGACATTGCTCTAACTGTTCATCTACGGAGACAAACATATAAGTATTCTTCCTTAACTTCAATATCATCGCACCTCTGGAAGGGGCTTCTCTTCATTTGTTTCTTGGCTTTGTTAATGACAATGAAAAAAAAAACCCAAACCTGAACACCTATTGAAACTGTATTTTGAAAAAGCCAGTGAAAATACAGAACTTTGATGTTCATTATGATACATAATGGAGAGACTTTGGGTGGGGGGTTGACAGTGAGAGACAGTTTGTGATGCTGAACAGGGCAGACCTACGACTCCCAGTGTTACGAGTTTGTCCACTGCTACAGTCCTGCCTATTGCTAGATTTTCTTTTCTTTTTGCCAATTACTAAAGCAATAATTAAAATCATTTAAACAACAGGAAGCGAGTTCAAAAGTGAAAATTCTTCCAGAAAGGTAACAAGCATCTGAGACTGAATTAATGAATATTTAGATACCTAAAACAGCAGTAAAAACTCAAGCTTCATCACTTTAGCACAATGGTCTAGCCAATTTTAAGCCAAAGTACAAAGAGAGGACTAGGAACCCTGAGGTTTACAAAAAGCACAACAACATATTACCATTTTTACCTTGTGTGAAAACAGATTTTAAAAGGTTCCTAAAAGCTTTACATTTAAAATAAGTATCAGTCACGGTATTATTTAATAGTTCTTTTTACCCCAAGTGACATATTTGGTACCTTACCAGGAGGCAGAGTTATTTATTTGCTCAGCTTTCTTTTGACTTTTTTATTTTCTTCACGTGATGAGACTTCTGAGTATTTCAGTGTTCATCATAATGTAACTGAAGGAGTTGGAGCAGGGAGACAAAAAAAACCTCGTGACTGTAATTTCTAATGCTCACTGTTCCCAGGGAAGGTGAGCTTTGGAACGTACTTAAGGTTCACCAAAGGTCTATTTTTTCACTACTTCTTTCCCTCCTGCCCCTAAGGGACTGCTTAATCTGACCTTCATTTTCTCCAGTTACACTAGGGGAAATCAAGCAGAGTTTGTCAGCGGTCGTGTTTACAAACCTTATGTACATTTCTTCTCTCTCAATCTCCTTGTAGAAATTCTGAAAAACAACATCATTTTGTTACAACGTCTTTGATTTCACAGCCTGGAATGTATACAGAACATGCTCTAAATTAAAAATTCATCATTGCATAACATCAACCTCAAAACTGCAAACTGAAATTTGCCTCTAGTGACAGCAGACGAGTTATTTAACTTCCAAAGCCTAACGCTGTGCTGTTTCACGATGCAGCCTATGAGGGCTCCTGGCTCACCGCAGAGGTTAAGAACTCGCAAGCACAGCACTGCTAGAAATTTGCTGCTGGCATTCGCCAGTCACACCTCATCACCCGTTTCCAGGTGAAATTTCGTAATACACAAAACCATAATTTTGAAGCAACAGCTGTTCTATGGATTTAAAACTCCACGCTTTAGTCGAGCCATGCATCACCCGTCCTTGAATTCCAACAGTTTCTCTGGAAATAAAAAGTTGGATTAGTGTTATTTATCTGGTTCCACATGCCACACGTTATCGCCGCTCTCTTCAGAACCGTCTGACTGCCTCCGGTCGTGAGATAAACTAGTTAACACCACAAATATTGCAAGTGCAAGATATGATAAATTGGCAAGATATTAAAGGCATTTCTGAATCTTATTTCAAGTTTGCCTTCAAAAGGTAAAATATATCTAAGAAAATGAAATCAGAAATGCCTCCTGCACTGGATTGCAGTGTATTTCAATGGCAAATTAAACCAGTCTGAGTAGTCACTAATAAATGCACAAGCCCAGTACTAACAGATGCACAAGCCCAATACAAAACTGCTTCCTTCAAAAAGAACTGAAATACGAGATAGAATCGAGGTACTGGACTTGAAAATGATGGATTATTCAGTGGATATACCACTTGACATAACTACTCACTGGTTTTGACTTCGACTCCAACGACAAACTGAACCAAATGCAATATTTCTGTTGTTTTTTCTTACTTGTGTTCTGTTTGTTTTTTTAAAGTAGAAGAGACATCTGCGTCAGGTGGATCAACAAGGTAGAACCACTTCATCCCAACATGCCAACACCACTAACATGCTCCGACGCAGCTCAAGCAGCAGCACCAAACCACCCAAAGCGAGCAGAGGCCGGGGCAGCAGGCTGACCCCGAGACGCGGTACACTGACCAGCGTCCCCTCTCCCCAGAAAGCAGCCCCTGCTCCTGCCCCAACTTTGGGCGCGGGTCCCCACGTCCCCCACACGTGTGGGGCCGATAAACCGATGGCGATC